AGGTGGTGGGCACCAGCCAGGCATCCATGAGGCACACACGAGAGAGGCGGGAGGAAGCCAGGCAGGTTTTTGGTGGTGGGCACCAGCCGGGTGCCCATGAGGCACCCACGAGGGAGGGACCATGGGAGTCCAGCACCAGCCAGGAGCCCACAAGGGAGGGACTGAGCTTCCCTCAAGAGCCCATGACATCAGCCAAGAAGGCATCCCAGGGCTGACTCACTTTCCACTGAAGAAGATGACTAAAAGCCAGTGAGGGGGCAGAGACATCCTGATGCTCAGTTCTCCTGGAATCACTTCAGCCCTCGATGTTTTCAGAGTCATTTATAGGAACTGCAGTGGCATCATCTGCGTCACCCTCCCAAGCTCCACCTTTGACCCTGACCTGCCCCGAGGGGACCTTCCTCCTTGCTGTCTGATTGGGGCCGGACTCCCGCAGGGCCTGAGCTTCCACCCTAAACGGAGCCCAGAACCCCAGACACGGGACCTGAGATGACCCGAGGATGACCCGGCTGTCACAGAGAGTCATTCAGCAGGGGTCACTCAGACCATCCCCTCCCCTTCTTGTGTGTTAGCTGGAGGTTGGTTTAGATGGTCTGGGAAAGTGCCCCCAGCTCTGACACCCCCTGCAGCCCCTTCCTCTGATTGGGCAGGCCGTCCCAGAAGCTCCATTTCAGGAAAGGGCCCAGAGCAGCAGGATCCTTCACTCCTCACTGGGTCCTTTCTCCATCATGCCCTCCTTGGTAGCATCACCTCTCCCCATCACACGCAGGTGTCTCAGGCATCTTTGGGAGGGCATGGCGCAGGACCAGGCCGGCTCTCCCAAACAAGCTTTCATTGCCTGGAGGGCCCACGAGGTGCAGAGACCAGGTCCCAGCTGAGCCCCGGGGCCCTTGGGTGATGACTGGACGAAAGCATGGACTTTGGGAGAGCCTTGTGGTCTGCCCTCCCTCCCAGGCTGACAGTTGGCATTCAGCAGATTACCTGAGTGGTCTGGTGACCTTCAGAGCATTAACAGCAGACACGGCCCTCACCAGGAGGCGGACCCTGAGAGGACGCATATCCGAGGTCCCCCCACGAGAGGCTCCTCGAGCGTGGTTTATGCAGGATGTGGCCCAGCTGAAGCCCACCCCCCTTCCCGGGGGTGAGAGCTACACCCCCTGAGAGTCTGGCCTGAGCATTAATGTAGGAGTCGTCAAGTGGACCAAGGAAGCCATTGTCCAGACCATGAGTCAGCCCGCAGAGCACGTGTGGCTGCCCATGTGCTTTG